TATATCCACTCGTGTTCTTTGAGTACTTCTCTTAATTCCTGGAAAGAAGTTATTAAGGGTTGTATTACAAATTAGCAATATGCAACATTTCTACAACTCTTAAACTAAGCTAATCACCTGAGAACATAAAGAATTCGTATCTTACTCTTTCACATTTGTTTTAGGCTGCACTACAAAGGCATTCTGTGTAACTGCATCTCTGCAAATGTACTGAACCATGTTTGTCAAAGGGAAGAAAGCCTGACAAAATTTTGTATCTCTAGTTCTCCCCGTGAAGTTCTCTGGATACTGGAGGATCAAAAACAGTATTTGCTCAATTAAAATTGAAACATCAAAGCCTGGCCTGGTGGTACATACCTGTAAACCCAGCACTTGGGAGGCTGATGTGAGATTGCTCTGAGTTCAAGGCCTGCCGGGGCTATCTAGTGAGTTCAAGATGAGCCCTACCACACAGTGAGACCCTGCCTCACAAATGAAAGCAAAAAAACAAAACAGAAACTTCGAGTGACTAGACTTTTACATGTAGTGTATGTAATGAACCAGTATGCATAGCAACAAAATTCTGTGTTCAGCTCAGCAGAACTCAGCAGATCGTTCCCTGAGCACAAGAAGAAATCATTGCAAGAGCTAATGTACTCCCAATGGTACACACGCACCTCAGCGAGGAGCAGGGAGAAGAGCCCCTCAGCACCGGCATGCTTAGCACTCTCTAATGACCGGCATGGCATGTATTCTTACTATCCAAGCAGCACAACAAAGCTTTTCCAATTTTATGGCACTGAAATGCAACGTTACACTTTAAAATTCTTCTAAGTAATTTCAAGAATAAGAACAAAAAAAATAATCTAAGCAGTTACTTGAGGGGGAAGGACCATAGATAACTTTCTAGGTGATTTACATTTCATAAATGAGTTCACCATATTTATTAAAGTATGTTTGGTATGATTTGGGTTATAATGCTAATGCTCTGATTAGGCAATAAAATAAAAACAGTAAAGAATTCAAAAGTAGTATAAAACAGTTTATAGAACTGTGATAAAAAGAGCTTTGGTTGAAAAAATATAAAACTTGCCTCAACCTTATACATGGTTAACCGCTATTTTGTAAATGTTTATTTAATGTACACAAATTACATTTCTTTTTTTTTTTTTTTTTTTTGGTTTTTCTCCGGTATCAGGAACCGAACTCACGACTTTGCGCTTGCCAGGCAGGCGCTTTGCCGCTGAGCTAAATTCCCAGCCCCCACAAATTACATTTCTGTATCATACTGCTCACTTGTTTATCAAACTAGGGAAATTCCTTTTGCAATTTCAATACAATACTTTCCTGCTTTTCCCAATTACTGCTAGATTCTGCAGACTCATTTGATTCCTCTCCCTAATGGAGAGGGAAGGGAAAAAAAGAACCAATTTAAATGATCATTAGTAACAATGGTATTAGTGATAAAATGGTCAATTACATTTGTATTTTGATGTGATTTGCAAATTACACATTTGATCACATACAGTGTTTCTTTTTGTTCATGTGAACACTGATAAATATACGTCTTAGAGGACAATACTGATGACTTCAGAGCACCGGAAGACCCTAGTATGTGTCCATTAACATAAACTGTATCCATAGTACTGAAACAGAGACAAATCTGCTAA